TTATTATATTTGGTGGCCAGGGCGGAAGGGTGCAGGCGGTGAGGCTGCTGCAGCAGGAGCACGGTGCAGTGGTGCAGGTGGCCTGGTGAGCCGGCACTGCTACAGACCATGTGCCTGATCCCTGCATGCTGGACTATTCCATGCCCTGCAGCTGGGCCCCCCCTCCTAACAGAGCCTGTGCCCATGCCGAGACCCACACCTGCCCTAGCTGCCCACCACCCGCTGCCTGCCTGCCACGCTTATGGCCGCGGAGGAGCTGCTGCAGAGCGTGGATCACTACAAGACGGAGATCGAGCGGCTGACTCGCGAGCTCACCGAGACCACCCACGAGAAGATCCAGGCGGCCGAGTACGGGCTGGTGGTGCTGGAGGAGAAGCTGACCCTCAAGCAGCAGTATGACGAGCTGGAGGCCGAGTACGACGTCCTCAAGCAGGAGCTGGAGCAGCTCCGCGAGGTGAGTCGCGGCCGACCCCGGCCCGCCGGGTCGCAGTCGGAGGGGCTGCCTCCCAGGGCCCTTTGTTAGAGGACCGAGAAGTCCATTGTTTTCTCCTCAAGGGGAAAAACTGGCCACGAAATGAAGGTGTAAGCAGGCATTTGGGAGGCGCTTCTGGCTCGGGGAGCCCGTGGGGGGGGCCCAGTCCTCAAGTACCAGTGCCCTGAACTGGCTTGGAGGAATAAATCCAACTTCCCCAAATTGCTGTCGTTTCGAACCCAGCTTTCAACGATAATCCCGTGACCCGCAGAGCTGATGAGTATGTTTGTGCCCAGGGACCCACAGTTCCAGGACGTGGGATCAGTGACACCCCAGCTTTCTGCTGAATGTAACCATTTTTGGGTGACAGGAGACTCATTTTAGGAGAACTTGCCGATCCCAGCTGACAAAGGCCGGCAGGCTTGTTTCTCCTTAGCTTTGGTCGTTCTTGTCATTGGGCTGTAGCAGCAAAAACGACTTTGCTGGGTGATGTGCCTTGGGCTCAACTCAGAGCTCAAACCCTGGGAGGTCACCCTGACCAGGGACCATGGAAGCCCCTCCCAGCCATCTGCAAGGAGGGTGGATGGCAGAGATGTGGCCAGGCAGAATTTCAGAGGGGGCTCTGCAGATGAAACGCCTGTACTTACTAAACCAGAATATCACAAGTGGGCCATGTGTAACATTTGTCTTCTTTAGCCTCTTAGTATTTGCCTGACTAATGTACTGGAGGAAAGTAATGAATGAGCCTTGATCTCCGTACATATTGTTGAAGGCACTCTGTTTTTATCTCATTCTTGTGGGGCTGGCAGGGCAAGTAAACAAGTGTACATAATACACTGCATTTCTTTCTGGCCAGCCTTTATCTTTAGGTGCATCATGGCATTTTAGATGTTAGGCATATAATATCAAAAATGTTTGTTTTAATACTGTAAGTTTGTTTTAGTGGAGGGGAAGGTTTGGTTTTGTTATTACAGTTAAGAGACGTGATTTATGACATGTCGAATCAACCTGCCTTCTACTTCAGTATGTCATGTGGGAGGCCTTTATACTTTCAGAAATCTTATTTTTATTCACTTGCCTAAATAGGAAAAAAATAAATGTAGTAGATATGGTTAAAAACCAAACTAGACATACAGTTTTTGTGCATCAGGCAGTAGATTTCTAGATGATGCTTTTCTTGCCACGTCTGTGTCTGGTCTTAACAACAGCTGGACTTGTTTATATTTTCTGGCTCAGATTAGGTCTTGGGCTGATGTTTTAAATGCAGTGAACTACCCCGGTGGAGCAGGAAGGAATCAAAACATGGTTGTAATTCTTAGGGATATTTTGGCGTTGTCTTCACCCATCAACAGTGCTTTGACAAGGTGAAGTGTAGACCCTACAGGACTAGGCCATCCTCTCCTTGAGAGGAGTTTTTCCCTATGTGAGATGGAGCTGACTTTCCTGCTTGGTTTAAAGGGCCCTTGCAGGGATCTACTGTGTTGTTGGATGTACCCCACCCGGTAAGCCTTAATGTGGCTGTCTTTTGCCTCTAACAGACCATGGGCTTTTCAGGCAAGGAATCGCTTAGCTATTTATTTATTTTACCTAAAGTTAGATAAAATTATATGTATGTATTTATGTAGGGCATGACATTTAGAGGTATATACACTGGGAAATGGTTAACTCTAGCTAATTAGCAAATGTATTATATCACATGGTTAGGATTTTTGTGACCCACTCTCTGCATTTTTCAAACATACAGTCTTTTGTCATTAACCATAATCACCATGCTTTATAATAGCTCTCTTAAATGTATTCTTACCATCTACCTACAATAACATATGTTTTGACCAACACCTCAACTTCCCCTGCCCCTAATTATCCCAGCCTCTGGTAACTACCGCCCATTCTACTCCCTGCTCCGATGAGATTAACTTTTTTTTTTTTTTTTGTACCAGGGATTGCACTAGGGTCCTTATGCTTGCAAGGCAGGTGGTGCAACCACTGAGCTAAATCCCAGGCCTGAGATTAACTTTTTGATTGCACATTTGAAGGAAATCATGAGGACTTTGTCTCTCTGTGCTTGGATTACTTCGCTTAGTATAACGAATTTGAGGGAATCTTAGTCTTTAACACTAGATTAGCACATAGTAGATGTACAGTAAGTATTTTGTGGAAGAATCAATTTCTACTGGCTCAAGTATTCACTAGTGTTAGTATTCGTTGGTGTCAGAGAAAGATTAAGAAAATTAGGATGCATGAAGTAACTACTTGTATTAGTTTCATCAACAGTAATGCGAAAAAATGCTTGTAGTTTCCTAATACAGAATAATACAGATACCAGTAATATGCATTTTTCTATAAAATTTTAGAGCATTTTATTCTGTATAGCAGGAGGTTAATAAAAATTTATCAGGATTATTTTAAGCAAATAGCATTGACTCTGCATACATTTTCAGTTATATTTAACATAAAATTCAATTTAAAGTTCTAGTTTCAGGTTTGTTTTTTGTTTTTTTTGTTTTATGGTATGTACTGGGGAGCAAACTCAGGACCTTGCACTTGTGAGGCAGGCAGCGGCACCACTGAGCTTAATCCCCAGCCCTTAATTTAAAATTCTTAATAAACTGGCTTTTACAATTATAAAAGTGTATTTAGGGTAATAAGATAATCATTATATTTAGTTATTTGATAGCAAGGCCTGTTATTTTTGTCCTTTAAACATGGCTATGTACTTTTAGTTTATTACTCAAATGAACTTAGTCTCAATCAGTAATGTTTGGCTGTTTGAAAAGTAATTGTGCAAACAGGTATTTTGATGGTGTCATGTAGAAGCCATTTTTGAAAACCATTTTGTGAATGCTTTGATTCTTCAAAGAAAGTTTTGTTCATTATCAGGAATATATAGTAAAAAAAAAATGTTTTTGCATTATAACTATAAAGCCAAGTAGAAAAGAAATATTTGGCTTATGTTTTGGTTCTTTCAGTAGATGTGATTCATTGAAAAAAAATAAGTGGACCAATGTACGGGAGTGTCAGCAGAAAATTCCTGCACTACATCCAAAAGGGACATTGGGAATTTCCAGCTGAGTGACATGGCTGGATCTTTGGAGATCATTCTATTTGCCAGAGTTAGTACCCAGCAAGGTTGCCACCTTCTTCTAAGGCTGGGTAGTATGATGACAGGAACGCAGGGGGAAGTGTTTCCTGAAGATGTGTCAAATCAATAGAATGAACTTTTTTTTTTTTTTTTTTTTTTTTTTTGGTACTGGGGATCAAACTCGGGTCCTTATGCTTTCAAGGTAGGCGGCAGAACCACTGAGCTAAATCCCCGG